TGGTTCGACTAAAAAGCATGTCGTTGCGGCCTTCCACGCAGTGATGTTGTCGGAGCACCTGATCACCTCAGACGTCGCCCCTTTCCGGTCGGCGAGTGCCTACATCGCGACGCTCCCATACTTCCATACGTTTCGTCCAGGCAAACGCCGAACGGAAAATTAACGACTCCTTGGCATTCCCCGCGCGCTGACAGTATATACGCCTATCGCCCAGAGAGATGTGTGTGTCTCCGTGAACACACACACGGGAAGGTTGACGCAAGATAGCAGTCTGGATTGCAGCAGAGTGTCCTGCTGCGACGCAGATCTATTTGCCTGCTGGTAAAAGTGGTGATACGACTAAACTGGGCGCGAGACATAATGACTGCGACGATAGCGAGGCAAGGCGGGTCAATTTGAATACTGATATATTGCTCTACAAATTGAAATGGACTAACTTCAACTCGTGAAAAGAGCCATTAACACGTTGAGTCCCTCATGACCACACGTATGGTCACAACAGCATGCAAAAGAGGACCTCCCTGGGACTCAACGTTTTAACGCACCATCCATATTCTTCTCCTTCTTTTATGCTTCGCATTATAACTCACGTGTTTGCACTTCCACGAAATGCTCGTGCATTCTTATTTAAAACAATAACCTCGACAAAATATACGAGCGACACTTTGTGTCAGCAGCTGCAGTAATAATTTGAATGATGGACAGGGCAGGGGACGCTGCTGACGGCCTGGTGACGGCGCGCTCCGAGGTTCGGCTTTGCCTAGTCTCCGAGTAGCCGAATCGGCATGACGGTCGATTGCCCACTGCCCGCAACATGATCGGAAGGGCGGTCCCGACCACGCGACGCACCGACCGGCCGGACCAGCACCATCGGATCAGTGGATATGTAACAAGTACGCCACAAGGTACTAGTCTAAGTGAAAGTCCACGTCAAAAGGCGGATTTGGAGTCTGGGCCCGTCAGATGAGTGAAACTATGTACACAAATCGGGCCCAATGATTGCTGTTCGATTTGGCGCGAAGCCGACGTGTTCTCGAGCGCAGTGTGCCGAGGCTGCCGGCCCCAGACACTGTCCCTGGAGTTCTCGGACAATCAGCGTCGGGCATCGAGAGGTAGCTACAAGTAGCGACAGAGTAGCAGAGTCACCCGGCTCGACTGATCTACGAGGATAGTGCAAGTGGCATTGCGAGCGTGCGCTGCAGCACTAGCAGCAGACTCGGCACTCGTTACTCAAATTGCAATGTCGAAGCAAATGCAATTTATAATTGCATGGCAGTAAGACATCCGAAACCATTCACATACGTTCCCAAGTCTGGCGATGGACGGGCCATTAAAATGCACAGCTTGACGAAGACAAAAGCCTCGAGCCCTCGAGCATGTCCGCCTGCGCTTTGCTAGTGTGCTGGAGAACAAGATAACGCGCTTGTCGAGTCTCTCGCCCTGAGAGCGTCGCGCGTCGCGTACCCACGGAGAGCGGCTCGGCATATTTCCCAGGACTGACAGTTTCTCACCAGCAGGCTGTGATTGGTACCATCACAATACGCTAACCGGCCATCCACGCACATTCGCATTTGGACCTCGTTGAGTCGACCATGCGTTATACCCGTTGAAAGGGGTTTGCTAAACAGTCTCATACAGCCCCCCCCCTAAACCCCTCGCGATCCAAGGCTACAATCATCATGAGTATAGGCAGCCTCAGAATAACGTCAGTGGGTCACAAAGAGTAAATGCTGCGGTTGAAGTGCCACGGGAGCAAAAACGCATCGAGTTGTGCATTTCATTAGCGAGGGTTTGTGCGCAGTCACGCAGTGCTGTGTGAGACTATCGGGGCTGCAATCCCCAAATAAGAGTAGAAATGGTGATGATGTGGCAGGACTATGGCCGGAGAACGGGGAGACAACTAACGGAATGCATTGGCACTTGAGGTCGGCGGGTTTGACCGAGATTGATCGTTGGCATCCCACGGAAAAGTAGAGAGGCGCCCACGAGGTAGGCAACCCATCGGACTCGGGTGACATAATGGCTGCCTACCTAACCTTACTACCTGAGCTTGCCCTGCTCAACTTCTGCATCCACCGCCACAATGGAGGAAGTAAAGATGCAAGCTTTATAGCAATGCATAAAATGAGCAATTCTATTCAAGACACACAAAAAAGAAATACCCTAGACAAGAACAGCAAGCACATGCACGGAAAGACTGATACTGTAAGGGAATCGTTCAAAATTCATTAAAAATTACATACAATTATAACTTTATTTTCAATTTTAAGTGCAATGCCTCAGCAAATAATAGAGATAAAATGAAAACCATGAAGACTGCTTGAAAACGAAAGTATTTAAACATGGAACTCGAATGTGTTTAATAAAATTAAGGTTTGTTTTTGAAAATGGTGTTTTTAAATGATCATGCCCACTAACAAGAAATTGGATACAGTAATACATCACTTGTGAGTCTACAACTGTAGAATACATAGACCATTTTGAAACGATTCACACACACAATATAACAATATGTGGCAGGTTTCTGCCTTACAGAACATATTGAGGGATTAGAAGAACACATTTTTAAAAACTGGTGAAGTGATCAACTTATTGGATTTTCAGTAGAATATTTACTTACCGTTTTCAGTTTCTTGATAATTTCTCCGCCAGGCATGATGGGGCGATAGTGCAAATTTTGCCTGATCTGACTAAGTTTCTAGGTTAGGTTCCTCTACAATTCGTCATAACTATATTCATCGATTAAGGTAGAGAGAATTCACACCCTACAATTGTTGCCGAGAACATATAAATCACTATACGAAGTATTCCGCAGAAAAATCAATCTTCAAAGAAGATACAGGGGCACATTGAAAACCTCTACCAAAGTCCAAAAGTTGTGTTTACAAAATCACACAGACAGATTCTTCTGCTAGAGCCACTTTTCCTCGTCGTAATATATGACATCTAAACCATAAAGCTTATGTCGAGTGACAGCTCACACTTTCATATTTTCTTTGTAAACTTCTACTATTGTGTTACGCTTAAGACTAAATAAAAAAGTATATTCCCCGAAAGAGGCGGTATAAGGTCGATTATACCATGAAACCGAACTTTTCAGAGTTGGTAGTTCCGGAGAGTGGTATCCATATTTTCTATCTCTCTCGGTCACGTTACAAGTACCGTATTCTGTCTCTTTCCCTCCAAAGCCTACTGCTACTGATCATGATAAGAAGATGCATCCCGAAAAAGAAGTGTGTTGTAATGCTACCCGTAACGGTAAACAGCTGGGGCATCGGCGGATGAGAGCTTGTCCTTTTTGTCACGTCGCTTGGACTTTGAAGCGGCTGCCGTCAAAACGAAAATCGTTCAAAACTTTCAACCATGGCTCTTATGCTCTATCCACATTCCACTAGATCATTTTTTCAAATTAGTAAACTAGTTTCCTTTAAGAATATTTCATGCCGATTTGCCTCACACTATCCCATTGATGAGAAGATATTTGGATTAAATTCTGATCAACTTCAAGTATGTGTACCTCAAACCTGTTGATTATTACTTCACTGTGATTTCCATTTAACTTTAAATTTTTGGTATCTTTGCAGCTCAGGGAAACTGTTTTTAACTTCGCTCAGAAAGAGTTAGCACCGAAAGCAGCAGAAATCGACAAAACTAATAACTTTGCAGATCTAAGGGTAAGAAAGTATTGTTTACTTACAGTTAGTTGTGGTCATCATTAATGTCATCTCTGTTATCAACTTGCTGTATGTTCTTTAGAAATTCTGGCGTCAACTGGGTGACCTCGGTGCATTGGGCATTACTGTCAAATCCAAGTATGGAGGAAGTGATGGAGGTTACCTTGATCATGTTGTAATTATGGAGGAACTCAGTCGTGCTAGTGGCTCAATTGCTCTGAGCTATGGAGCTCATTCTAACTTATGCGTGAACCAAATTCATCGTAATGGATCAGAAGAACAGAAGATGAAGTACTTGCCTAAGGTAATCCATGCCTTTACAACACTATATTTGAAGAACTTCTATATATTTGAATTCTCATAATGAATAATGGGTATGAAATTCTTCTATCATTTAAATCAGCTATGCTCCGGAGAATTTTTTGGTGCCTTAGCAATGTCAGAACCTGGTTCTGGGTCTGATGTAGTATCAATGAAATTAAGAGCAGACAAAAAAGGAGATAGCTATGTGCTCAATGGAAATAAATTCTGGATCACTAATGGTCCTGATGCTGATGTTCTTGTTGTAAGTAATCACATCTTTGAATAAGTCTTAATAAGTCATATTTCTAAATATGTCAGTTTACTGCTGAAGATTTTTAAAATTTTAAATATTTTATCAGGTATATGCAAAGACTGATACCAAGACTGACAAACCTCAACATGGAATTACTGCATTCCTTGTTGAAAAGGGAACAGAAGGATTTAGCACTGCACAAAAACTCGACAAACTGGGAATGCGTGGTTCTAACACATGTGAACTTGTTTTCCAAGATTGTGTTATTCCAGGTAAATATTAAAACGGTATTTCATTTATTTTTAAATAATTTTTCTCCATAGCCTGCATTTTTAATTTTTCAGAGAAAAATATTCTTGGAGGACTCAACAAAGGTGTATATGTTTTAATGAGTGGTTTGGATCTTGAACGTCTTGTGCTTGCCGCTGGGCCTCTTGGGTTAGTTGGCTGGTGTGACATATTTTCCTTTCACTGATTGTATGATAGTATGTGATAAAATACACCTTTTTTTTTTCAATCCAGAATCATGCAAGCATGTTGTGATACAACTTTTTCATATGTTCATGACCGGAAGCAATTTGGAAAGCGCATTGGAGAATTCCAGCTTATCCAAGTGAGTTCACTTTGTAAAACAATAAAACAATGCTATTATGCCCGCCACTAGTGTGAGTATAATTTAAGCGATCTTATTTCTTTAGGGAAAACTAGCTGATATGTACACTACTCTTAGTGCAAGCCGAAGCTATCTTTACTGTGTTGCCAAAGCATGTGATCAGGGCAGTGTCAATCGGAAGGATTGTGCAGGAGTTATCCTCTATTTAGCTGAGAAGGCAACTCTAATGGCTCTTGATGCTATTCAATGCCTGGGTACTGTATCAAAACATTAAAATTTGAATATATAATCTGATGTTTTCTTTTCATTTATTTGTGTATTTTTTTCAGGTGGAAATGGTTATATTAATGACTATCCTACTGGACGCTTGTTAAGAGATGCTAAATTGTATGAAATAGGGGCTGGTACAAGTGAGATTCGACGTATGATAATAGGACGTGCATTAAATGAAGAGTATGAGTAAAGTACTAAGAAATTGTTTCTTAGGATTTAATTCTTTTCTTAATGTACCTTAATGCACTGAACAGTTCAAATTATTACTTAATGGAGAATCTTTGTTAGCTATGTATGTCCTTGTCCTCTGTCTTTTCTGTGTATTCTAATTATGTACCTGAATAACACTTGTGTGATAAAACATTCCATAATTTACAATCAACTAAAATCAACTTTCCTCAAGAATTTTTGTTATCCCATTAGTATTCTGTGCTACAGATTGCTTTGTGATATTGGGAATACGTCTGTATTTATCTGTATTTTGTTATGAGCTAGAAGCTGCTGTGCAACATAAAAATTCTATCAATAACTTATTTTCTTTATTTTGTAAGCCACTTTCATAACAAGTTATCGAAACACATTTTCAATTCACAAGTTACAGTCATGCTGAAATCAAATTGAACATCGCTAAATGAAGTGCAGCATGCTTGCTCCCAAACAAACAATAGAGACTGTGATGATTCTTATGCTTTGGAATACCTATGGTCAACCAAAGCACACTTTCAAAAAATGACATCAGTCACATTCACTTTTGACTAGAAGGTACACTCAATAAATTATCCTTATGTAGTAAACTAGGAATAAAAAGGTGATCTGAACACATACAAAATAACATAACAGAAAATAAATACTTTCTCAAGTGAGACCTGCTCCTGTTCTACATCAAAATTTACATTAAAGCTTTGAAATTTTTCAAAATGTACATTACTCAGCAAAAAAAAAAAAGAAATCAAAATAAAATATTATAATTACTGCTAAATCCTGCATCTATGCCACCCATAATTGGACAGTGTTGAAGTCAATGAGACACTGAAATTAGTTGTAAGTAAGCGTAATACTTCTAAGTTAAGCCAGAACGTTGATCTAACTTAGATGCAATACATGAGTATAAGCATATTTGAATGAAATGGTTTAAATTATTACCATGAATGAAATCACTTTGTGGAAGACTTCTAGAGCTACATATTTACAGTCCGGGACATTTCAAAATTTTTGCAACAAAATAGATCTTGTCTACCGCTCTTCTTCCTTGTCATATTTTATTGTTCTAAAAACCCGGTCGATACTGATCAGTTCTTAAAAGTTCCCAGACTCATAGGCAGTAAAATGCATATACTTCACAGAATACTTGAACGTTTTGGCGCTCTCAGTCGATCACAAGGTACAGCCGGCCCTCAATGCGGGCTGAGTCGATGGGCAGCCAAGCCCTGGATCGACTTGGCATCGTGCTAGGGGCACACATCCTATGACGGTAAGCGCGATCCAGGGTAGCTGGTGGAGGGACTAGACGAGAGAATGGAAAGCTGGCCTCCGATGAGAGTTGAATATTTGCGTGACAGCTATTTGGACGCTCGATAGCATATCACGGCGCAGACCCAAGTCTTAACTGAGGCGAGTTTTCCTGTTCTGGCATTGGGTGGGGGTGGGGAGTGGGGGCTGGGGCATGGCTGGGGCCTGCGGGGTCAGTCTACATGTCGTTCATGACCATGTGCATGAGCCTGTTGAAGGAGCCGCTCTGCTGGATGCGCTCGGCCGGCACTCCCATCGTGTTCACCTGCAACACCAAAGACTCGCGTCATGACTCGTCGCGTCCCGGAAAGTGGGACTTCCCCCGTCCCCACCTCTCCGCAACCTGAAGGTGTGTGAAGGGACTTACTTGATAATATGGATTGGGTGCAGTGCTAATAGTTTTCTACACAGGAACGGAAAAATATGAGAAAAATTAAAAATAATGCAAGACGAAAAACTATATTTACATCTATCAGAGTGCATTTTATGGTTAAATCTACATCTTCGGTCACTTACTTGATGAACCCTCTGGGTCGGTGGTGGATTAATTTTCTGCAATGCAACAAACCAACAATAAAACATGAGCAAGCGCAATCTATCTAGCTGTAACGTGCACCTCCCGCAATTGTGATGGACGCGTTCCACTAGCGTTTCCTCACACTAACGGGGACGCAGTTAGGACACAAGTTTAGACACAACACATGAATGCCACCAAGCTCTGCCTCGTCGTGGCTCGCTCGACATACTGATATCGAAACGATATTGGAATTATTTTTTTGTCAAACATACTGGTTGGCCGGGTGGCCTATTTAGATTGCATCACTTGCAGGCGCCCGGGCGGGTTGCCTATTCACCCGGAGCTATAAGGCCCGATAAGACCCAAATCTGCCCGTTCGCTCGCAAGTGGTATTCAATACTCCTGTGTCTTGTACATAGAGCTTCAGTCCAAGTGCTCATTTAAGCGAAAGCACGTCAACGCGTCTTCGGGTTTGGCCATGCCCCCTTAGCATTCCACTTTACGCGATCAAGTCCGTACAAGTCCTCGTCCGTCCGGTCCCAGTCGGGACAGAGGCCTGGCAGCCCCTTCCGTTCCACATCAATACACACACTACCGATCCATATTCTAAAACTAATCCCCATTCCAAACGGAAAACTAATTACAGATGAAGTCGTTCATTTAATTTCGTTGCGTCACCCCGTACTCACCCTCACCCCTGCGGGCACCTTGTTGGGAGTGAAGACTTTGGGCTGGGGGGGCACGGTCACCTCCTGGACGTGGTCGCCGAGCTCCTGCTCCTGGAGGAACTTGTAGGTCTCGGACTTGGCCGGGTCGTAGACGACGGTGGGCTTCAGGCTGTGGTGCGGGACGCCGATGAAGGTCACGGTGTCATGTATTTGTGAATGTGTATTTTCGGGGACAAGGTGGTATCACAAGTTTTAGCGATGTATAAACGATCTCGCGGGTACAGTCAAAATGGTTTTAGAAATGATAAGGGAAAGAAAAGATAAAGAAACATTAATAAGTAATCAAAACATTCCGTACGCAAACAGGGGAGTTTACGATTAGCGACGTTAGTGTAGGGAGAGTGAGGAAACCGCGAAGAAAAGGGGTATTGACGTTTGTTAGTGCGAACCAAAAGGGTTCGAAGAATGTGCGACGAAGCCAAGGAAAAATGCACGCGAAAACCGATTTTGTAAACACGAATGTTTTGTGTTTTTAGAGGAAAACATCGAATTTTAATTAGAATTTCATTATAGGCGGCGGATAGACGACACTTCCCGGGAAATGTAGTGTAACGAGACACAAAGTTTTGATCACGTTTTGGTTCGGATTGTGTTCGTAGTGTGAAAGTTGTCGTTTGGGATGGAAGTGGAAAAAAGAGAGAAAAAGTAGAGATTAGAACTTGTAAATCGGGGAAAAAATACAATTACACAAAGCGGAAATATTTCAGGTCCTCTTGTAGAGCATTTTCTTTGATTTGCCATTCAAAATGAGGAATGAAGCCAGGGCAAAAAGCTATAGCTAGGTTGATATCATGCACATTGCTGGAATTGCGGCACTCTTTTAGAGTAAGGCTGTTTAATTCACCCATTTTTTCTGCATGTCGTTTTGCCCGTTACCCAGTCAAAAATCCACATAGTGAAGCATGAACCTCCATTCCAACCCTATGGATGGGGCCATGGGCTCCATGTGAATCTTGGCCTAGGAGAACGGTAGTGTAGCACGCAAGCAGAAGGCACAACTAACAGTTCGCCCGTGCTTCAGAGATGCACAGATCCACGAAGCGTATGACATATATACTCTAGCAAAAATGTTTCCTCTGCAAAATGCAGAGGCCAATGTGTTTGGATACGACTCGTGTGTGCATAAAGGCGGCGAGGCACGGGCGAAACGTTTCGTTGTCCTCCTAGCGTTGTCCAGCCGAGCGTTCAGCCTGTGAGGAGCGGGGTAGGCCGTCCCGCCGAGCACGCCAGCGTAACGGGCCCGCCTGCCTGCCAGGCGTCCGGCGGCCGTGCATGAGCACGTTGGAAGCCCTGAAAAGTTTCCGGAAAATTTCAGGAAAATATCTGGAAAAGACGGAAAATTTCCGGGAAAAAATGGAAATTTTTACGTTATTATCCGTATATTTTCGGAAAATTTTCGGAAATTTTCCAGGAAATTTGGGAAATTTCCAACCCTAGGCTGAAGCACCGGCCCGAGGTCACCAGGCCTGGTCAGCGTGGCATTTACCAATTAGGGTGGTCAAGAGTAATACTCTGTAGTATTTCATATTTTGTCCCTTGCTGTTAAAGCAGAACGCCGCTCCACGGAACACAAGATGGCGATCGTTGGGAGCGGTTTGATACATGGACGGCTCACCAGACCACGCCGTTCTCTAGCGCGACCGCCTCAGAGACCTCGGGCGGGACCTGGCGAGGGCAGTGGTGGGAACGCAAAGTCGAGGAGGGAAGGTACGCTGGCTACGCTGGCTGCTCGGCGTGGCGTAGCGCGGCGCGGTGAAGGGGCTGCAGGCCATGCTGGTTGAATACTTGCCTAACTTTAGGCGCCTGTCGGAGACTCGCATTGTTCCTAGCCAAAACCAAACCAAAACAAAACCCAAAAAGTATTAGAACACGGGTAACAAAAAAGTAATAAAAAAGGATGCAAAAGCGGACTGGGTTTATGATACATTTGGATTCGGGGCAGTTCCAGCAAGCGTTTTACACTGAAATGTGTAGATATGACTAGATATTGAATCGATAGAGTTTTCCATTGAGAAAAGCGTCTTACGCGAGCAACCCGCGTGGAACTGCCCCTTGGTGCTCGGCACCGGGTACTGCGGGCTCGTTTCTAGTTTGGCTACCGCGGACAACATTCTGGCCAAGCCCCGTTAGGGTCGTACTCAGAATTGCTCAAAAATAGAGATATGTATTTCAAATGAATGAGTTTAGGATACATTCAAAGGATCCATAAAAGTACAAAGGAACCTGCCCTCGCAGGCGATGCGGTGCATTGGCAAAACGTGTTTGTGACGTTAAGGAGACAACAAGTGTCAAGGGAGAAAAATACATTGATGCAGGCTGAATTTAACTCGGGAGGAAACAAATTATTGATTGAATCGTGCGCTTAATATATAATTGAGTAACATTCGTTCGAGTTTTAGTGAGCACCTTTTGTAGGAATCAAGGGCGCAATATGAACGCCGTTAGTTTTACAAAACTATGAAATCTTTGTTAATGAGAAGTAAGCTTAAAGTAATTTCCAAATCAAACGCCTAGCCTTTAAAAAGTTTTGTGATTGGATTTGGTCACCTATGCAGATGCAGTTCTAGCAATACACACAAGAATGAAAACACACTTGCAATACCAACAGCGATTTTCCACGAATTTGAACTGAGCAATTCTGTGGAGGCTGCTGGAAAATTCCGACGGACTTTGGCAAATTTTGTTTACAACACTTCTTAGTGAAATCCCAGAGATTTTTTGTTACAGTGTAGCTATTCAATTTTGACAAAATCCAATCACAGCGTTTGGTTGGTCCACTGCCCTGGAGATACTTACGGCGAGCCCAGGGTCTTGTGGATTGTGTCGACGATGTTTTGCTCGGAGTACAGGCCGATGGGGGTGTTGAACGGCTTGTTTATGACCTGCGCGGAGAAAAGGACATGGATTAGTTTTAAGACTCCTCTTTCTATTATTTGGACCCCCGTTATCAATATGGATGAAAGCGTTTGTATTTACAATGTACGTCAAATCCGGAGTTTCAAATTAGAACTGTGTACAAAGCTATGACGTGTGGCAGAGAAAAGCAGAAAACTGGTGATATGTTCAGTTTTGATTCGCAGAATTCGGAAAATGCAGCCAGGTGTAGTTAAGCTGAAAGCGATGTGAAACTCGGCTGGAAGAAGACAATTTTGTTAATAATAGCGCACAGAGATTTCGAGTCTGAACCGTGTGCGAAGAGTAAGACTCTTTGGGGTAGTTAGAATAGGGAGTGGTACTTACATGTCTGCCGGGATCGCTCGGCACCACTCGCTGCAAGACAGTGTCCGCCACCTGTGGCCGTTCAGTATGAGTCACGCGCTATTCTATTATTCTATACATGAATGTACACGGAAACCAACAACTCCAGGACAAGGAAAACAAATGCTCGGAAAATTCATTGCAGAAAATTCAAACAAATAATGTACGTGCGCGAGAGGTGTGAATTAAAAGTACTAAAAAGTACTGGACATCCCGACAAGATTTGCTAGCATGCACTGCATGCGGTAACTAGTACAATTCCTCTCAACAAGGCTCCCCTCCCTTAGAAAAATAATTACATGTCTGTAACAAAAATCAACCGTGATGATAAAAAAAGGTCTGACAAGTTCCCACTTCTAAAATTTAGAAAATTTGATAAACATATGAAGGTAATAAAAATTACCATCTTCATGCTCCGTGTCGTGGAATGTTATAATACAACTACTACTACTCCAGCGCGCGATATTTACAAAAGTAGTCACAAACACAAGTTGGCAGCTTACGTCGACCAAACTATTTGTCTACAAAACTCCAACTTTATCACGACGAACGAAAATAATACAACAACTGTAAATAATATGTACATCCAAAAAACAAAAACAAAACACACATAAAATGATTTTAGAAAGACCATTTTCTGCGACGAATAATTATAGTGTATTGCGGACTATTTGGGGAAGTGGCCTTCCGAGACGAACAAGTATTGTTCAGTTTGTGTGCATCAACTACAAATACAGGGGGTCGTCCACAGACCCCTTCCTTTATTTTGCTTATACTGTACCGCATGCAGGCGTGCGGGTGGGTTGCATACTCACACGGGGCCGTAAGGCGCCTTGGTGAGAAACCGGAGGCAAGCCCGCCCGCACGCCTGCATGCGGTACAGTATGAGCGAAATAAAGGAAGGGGTCTGTGGACCACCCTGTACGTCTCTAAAATGTACAACTTCCTCCAAAATTCTTCGCAACTCGACACTACTTTTATTCGTAGGCACAAAAAGTTGCACTCCGACTCAATGACAATGGCTCCCACCTTCTGCTTCATGACGACGTCGGCCGGCAGCCATTCTCCCCCGTGGCCGGGCGGCGCGCGCATCATGGGGTTGGGGTGGTGGCGCAGGTAGCAGTCCGTCACGTTGTCCTCCTTCTTCACCTTGGCGCCGGGCAGCACCAGCGGCGTGGTGCGGTAGGGCTGCGGGAGAGAACACATTAGTAAAACAGCGGCTTTTGTTTCAAGTCTGAGGCCGGTTTTCGTTTACAGAATCGCTCTCATAGCGCCTTGTGGGTAGGCAACATCCTGCCAGCAGTGCATGTGTGTACGGCGGGGTGGCCTACCCGGAGTCTCGCAGGCGCCGAGCTCCCGTCATTTGGCCACTGAATCTGTGGAACAAACGGCCGCACTTTCTTGCCGCCCCCCGGCCCGCCTGTCGCCCCCGGCGCCGGCCGAGACGCTCCGCCCCGTTTGCTAATGGGCGCGGGCTGCACACGCCCTTGGGCTGCTGTGCTGCCGTGAGGCGTGGCGGGGCGGGACTAAAGGCGGCCCGCCCGTCCTTGGCCCCGCGGCCGTGCGGCGGCGCCCCTGACCTGGATCCGGCCGAGCCCTTAGACACCAGGCAGCAGACGCGCGCCGCTCTCGAGGGGTACTTCACTAGAAATTCAAGCGTATATACCGATTCTTTTGGTTAGCTGATATTTCATGATCTTCTCTTATTTTATGTTATTTTTGAATATTGATTTTTCTTTGATTTTTCTGATTTTATTTAGATGGTGGACACCGGTGGACACTGATATTTTTGAGTGAAGCACCCCCCCCCTCTCCGATTGTGAGTTTATGATTGATATTAGAGTACCCCTAACCTGATCTGCCTAGTCTTCACGTTCGCTCTCTGCATTAGCAGGCCGGCGCGGCATTCAAGATCACGGGGCACCTCACTCTGGACGGTCTTTATCGCCATAGGAACTGGTTGAACGGAGCAGACACGGATAGCGCCGCTTTGGCGGCCTTGCCCTCGGCGCCCGAACCCCTTCACTTCACGACGCGAGAGCATGCTGCAGCATTCCTCTCTCATAACGCTCTGACGACCCTAACCTAACCGACCTGAGTATTTACACTTGTTCTAACTTTAGCCCGGCTTTAGCCCCCTCGGCCACGGGCGCGCGCGCGGCGCCACGCGGCACGGGGCCACTAGGGGTGGCGGCCAGAGCCGTGACGCAAGGCCGGCGGGGCCGCGAGGCCGTGTAGCAGGAGTACAACGCGGTTATCGTGTTGCTTGCACTTCCGCGACGGCCAACTAAGGAGAGGACACATAAATTACCGGGAACACAAATTGTGGCCGTTTTTTCTGTCAGCCGTATGGTTAAATGAGTAGGCAAAAATTGCCCACGATACGATACAGATACACTTCACATATGTGTGAAAGTGGGCGGTATCCACGCCTGCCTACTGGGCAAATACTAATCTCCAGTTCGGATAATGTTGCCAGTAGGCAGCAGTCGAAACGCCCACTTCACACAGGTGCGGGTGTACTACCGTGGGCAATGTTGTTTGCTCATTTATCTGGCACCGCTGCCCATGACGCACCGCTAAAGCTATCGACATTCTAGTCAGCGCTCAGGGATATTTTTGTTTTCGGGGATTGCGCCCTTTATTGCGCACCCAATGTCCATGCCACCCACTCGGGCCCACCCGTCGCGCGTCGCGTCGGTCAGCCGTTCGGCCGTAAACTCAAATGGGAGACAGGACTGGCCGCCGACGTCTGCGGACCGCACGCCTCGGATGCACAAGGGAAAGGAAAGTGACATTTCGTACTTCGAGGAGTCAGCGAAAAGGGAAGGGAGAAAATATCGCACTCGCCCATTCATTATTTTAAAACTATACCCGAATTACTTTTGCAGTCATCGTCGACTTTTTACGACTTTTTATTATTGTTAGGTTATTGAAAAACGTTGTAAGGAGTTGCGCCAGTCAAAGTATCAACATCATAATTTCGTTTTCTCTATTCAGAACTGTGTAGTTCACGTAGATTGAGTTAAAATCATTTGTTTTTGGCAACACACAACCAAACCCTCTGCACAAAAGAGGTGACGTTATTCCTTCAAACCTCCGGGCCGTCTTTGGCACCCATGGAATGGGGAGAGGAGCCACTTGGCAACATGTAGCAGCACTGGGCAGCACTATGGACTCTCGCCTTCGAGAATAATCCTCGTCTAAACTTAGATGGATCAGACCAACCATGACATGACATACCCGATACGTGTTCTGTTTGCATGAAACTCGAGAGGCTCTGGCGCACAGAGTCCCCCGGGCCCCCCGCAGGGTGCGCGCCCTTCACAACAGCCGTAGCCACAACAGAAGCAGCAGCAGCAGCAGCCCCTCGGACCATCTGCGAGCCACACTGGCCAGCTGCAACCCACATGATGCTCATAACCTGTCTCATGCTTTCCCCTTCCCACCGCATGAGCCGCCTCTGATCATTTCGCGGTGATTGGTCGCGGAAGCAGCTCCGCGCCGCTCACCCACCCACGCTGACAGCTGCCCCGGCCCGCCCCCGCGCCGCACCGCGCTGCGCCAAGAGGCGCCCCACCTGTCGGGTGACAGGTGTGTGGACAGGCGCAGCGGGCGCAGCTGCGGCCCGCGCCCCTGACCCGGCACGCCCCAGACCCACTGCGTTACCATGTTGCACACGGCCTCCTCCCTCATGGTGGCTGCGGTAGAGCTGCACTTCCAGGACAGCACTCCTCCCAGTCGCTCTGGCTGCGCTGTGCTCGCCGGGGTCTGGCCTGGCCTGGGCGTGTAGAAGAGTGCTCAGGGTGGACTGCGTCCTCCTGGTCCGGGCCGCGCCGGCCGGGGCCGAGCCCCTCCACCGCAAGCCCGCCCCGCCACGCCCCGCCACGCCCCGCCACGCCC